AGTCCCACTCTGCTGCCCTTTCCCTGTTGCTTTGCCATTGGCTTTCTCTTCAGGTAACTATCTGGTTCCCTTTGTGATTAAGTCTTCCTCCACCAGAATCTCAGGCACTGCCTTCTTGCTCGTAACCACTCACTGCACAAGACCACAATATACAGAAGCAGAAGCAGGCCATTTGCATCTGCTCTGCCATTCAATGAGGTCATAATTGATCTGATAATCTTCAATTCTGCCTTTCCTACCTTAGCCCCATAACTTTGGATTCCCCTATGGATTAAACAAGCTACTCCCTTCGTTACTGTTGCTTATTTTACCAATGGTTTTAAATCAGCATCCTCTGGTTATTCATATTTCTGTGTCCCCATATTCTCTGTCCAGTGCCCTCAAGATTAAATATATTATTACATTTCAAGCCAGGCAACATCAGAGGAGCAGGAAAGTTGATGTTTCGGGTTGGGACCCTTCTTCAGAAATTTCTGAAATGTTAACCTTTCTGAGGAAGGGTCCCAACCCGAAATGTCAACATTTTTGAAGAAGGGTCCTGGCCTGAACCGTCAACTTTCCTGCCTCTGATGCTGCCTGGCCTGCTGTGTTCCTCCAGCTCCACACTGTGTTATCTCTGACTCCAGCATCTGCAGGTCTTATGATCTCTGATTACATTTCAAGCCACTGTCTTTTGTTTTTGGCATCCTTCATATTTTCCTTTTATATCCACTCCCTTGTAAAGCACTTAAAGCTATACATGAGAAGCACGATAGGAATGTAAGCAAAGGCCAAAATTGCCGGAGAAATTCAGCATGTCTGGCAGCATCTGTGGACAGAAAGCAGAGTTAACATTTAGAGAACAGTGACTCTTTTTCAGATCTTCAGCATCCACAGTTCTTCGCTTTATTATAGGAGTATAAGCTGTTGATATTCTCATGGCAGCAGTAAAAAAAGACTATCAAATTTTAAACTTACATAATTTATATTTGGAAGGTTTTAGAAAATGGAGTAATTGGCCCAAATGCAAAGCAGGCTGTCAAAACTTGTTGTCTGCAGGTGAAAAAATGGGCAGGTGATGTCAGTCACTAATAACAAACATCTTTAAGTCACAATGAATCTGCGTGGTCAACTTCACAATGCTTTGTACATAATTAAATCACTGTCTGTATCACAGAACCGTTATGGCGCAGACGGGAGCCATTCTGTCCACTGACATTCCCTAGCTCTATTACTTCTTGCCAAACTCTTGCCTTTCCCAATATGCCTGCACACCATTTCTATCTAAATGATCATTCAGTACCCTTTGGAATGCCTCAATTGAACCTGCCTCCACTACATTTCCAGGCAGTGCATTTCAGACCCTAATGCCTGGCTGTGCGAAATTACCTTTTCTCAGAGTACTCACAAGTGCAATATGGGGACCATAGGCCTACATCGGTGCAGCTGTCTATATAAACAAATGTGGAGAAGAGGGCAAGGACTGCAAGCTGGGATCCTTCGTTTGCAGCTTCCTTCACAGCGGTAGCAGCCTAGAGAAACAGCACTTTATAAGCCCCTGCCAGGTCCTCAAACTGCAGCCTACTCCAGTGAGCTTAACTGTAAAGCAAAAGCTCGTTGTTTCAGCTGCTTTGCCACTATGGGAGAAAGTGACTGCTTAGAAGGAAGTGAAGCCTCGATTGGCCAAGATCCCTCAGAAGTGTCAGATGCCTTGTTTCCTAACTATCATTAGTTGTGAAGAAGGGTCACTGGACTTCAAACGTTAACTCTGCTTTCTCTCCATGCATGCTGCCAAACCTCTCCAGCACTTTCTGTTTTTGTTTCAGATTTCCAACATCTGCAGTTCTCTTATTTCTGGATTACTACTTCGGTGACAATACCACTACGGCACTGTCTTCCAAATATTTTTAGGCACACCCTTGGAATATATCAGCAAATGCTATTAATGCCTAGGAATATATCAAATTTGTGAGAATCCCCTGAGGGTAGTTATTGAGGAGCAGGGGATGGGAGACGTTAGATCTCCAGGACTTTATCGATACGTGCAGGAGCATATATCTGCACAGAATAGTCTAGAGTTTGAGGTGATATTGCAAAGAAAGAAAAATGACATTGCAGCTATACAGCACCGTCCAGATCCTCAGGACTTTCCAAAGTATTTCTACAGCCAAAGGAAAAAATCTTTTGACATGCAGTCACTGTTGTTACTTTGGCAGATCATGAGTGAAACACAATGATTTGTGTTGATTACTACAGAAACTGGGTGAATTGCCATCTGTGGTTTCTAAACAACATCACTCTTAAGGACTGATTTGCTGACATGTTCCTAGAATGCAGCCTCACTTCTCAAGAATGTCATTAAGGAATTTCAGGGATTTATGCAAAAATTGGTAAATATTTCACCTGTGATTTCCCGATACATGTAGAGTGTCTCAAATCTGGCTCTTCAACAACCAGATAAAGTCAAAATACTGCAGATGGTGAAAATCTGAAAAAAATACAGAGAATGCTATAGAAACTCAGCAGGTCTGGCAGCATCTATGAAGAGAAAAACAGAGTTAATGCTTCAAGTTACATTAACAATACATCCAATGATCTATATAAATAATGGATAGTTCAAATGTGTCTTAATAAAGTTTTAAAGAAGTTCAGTATTGAATACAATAGATTGTTAAGATGACATTTGAAGTCCTAACTGTTGTTGCATTAAGCACAATTCGTTGTGTACATAGATCAAAAGGTTGGGCCCCACAGGTTGCTGATTCAAACATTGAGATTACAGTCTGTCTGGAAAATTTTTTAGCTTGAGAAAACAAGAAGTGTTGTTAACATCCACACTGGTAGAGTTTTTAACAGAGTTAAGAAGAAATCGCTGCTAGAAAAATGAGGAAAATATCTCACACAAAGACAAAAACAACAAAAGTAGGCCACTTGCCCCTTTGAGCCTACTCTGCCATTCAATGAGATCATGGGCTGATCTAATTCTAACCTCAGCACTGCACAACCTCTGCACATCCCCAACACTCTTTCACCCCCCTTGGTATCTATCTACCTTAAAAAGTATGTAAAGATTCTGTATCCACTGCCTTTTGAGAGAGGCAATTCCAACACTTAGAGAGAAAAAAAATGTTTTCTTATCTGTATCTTAATGGGCAAAACTTACTTTTAAGCTATGAACCCTAATTCTAGATTCTCCCACAAGAGGAAACATCCTTTCAACATCCATTCAGTCAAGTCCCTACAAGATTGTACGTTTCAATTAAGTGCCCTTCAGCTCATCTAAACTGTGCAGGCCTAACTTGTCTAATCTTTCCTCATTGGCAATCTGCTAGCATTACATAGGACCTTTCTCAACCTACAAATGCCCCACAGGCAATAAAATACTTTGAAGAGTAATCACTGCTATAGGTAAAATGCATAAGAATTAAGAGATGCATTGACGTATGCATTTTTAAGCCAGATTGCTTTTTCTTTATTTTTCATTTTGCTTCCTCTTTTGTCCATTCTTTACTTTGTAACTTGCACTCACCAACTTCATTAAAAGTTGCTGTTCACTCCATTGGTGTTTTTTTAATTTCAAAAATATATCTTATTCGTAAAAAAAAAACTTTACGTACATACACAAGCACACAGTCACAAATGCAGTTCGGTTCTGTACACCTAGTGCCTCAAATGCATGCAAATACCTTTTATAAAATTTCAATTCACTCCATTGGTGCTTTTTCACATCTATTTCATATCAGAAACATCACCAATTGCTTTACATGTAACAAAGTGTACTGTTTCTTAGTTACCTAGTAACTTTCAGTTGATGTTAATTTAAGTTTTTTTGTAGAAAAGAAGTTTTAAAATAGGAAATCTGATCATCTGATTCTTTTGAGTTAATTTTGAATTTGCCGATTTAAACTCATTTTCAAAAATGGCAGAAGTAAAAAGTGTTGTTGTTTTATTTCAGACCTTCACCAGTAATTTGCTTTTATCTTCTTAAAAGTTGTTAGTCTTTAAGGGGATCATACCAAGAGTTTGCTACATCTCCACCCTTCAAACAAAAACCTGTTTGCTTGACCACAGAATATTTGATTGATGTAAAACACCAAGCATGCACGTACTTTCCCAGTTGAAAGAATGGCTGTTAGCTGCATTGTTTGCTGGTTGCATCCCTCTTTTTTGATGGTTACAATTTGTCTCGAAAGACCAGGGAAGGAATCTAAATTCAGGTAGGCCTGTCCACAAAACTAAATGAGTAAAAACAAAATAGATTGGCCAACTGAAAATGTCTTGTAGTGTAAATATATTAAGATGTTAAGATGATGAATCCTAAATAGTTTTCTCCTCGCAATTACATGGTGGATCACAACTCAACCAGTTCATACATGTTACATTATCAATTAAGGGATCTGTTGTTTTTCAACCAATGGGTACTCTACTTGTACTGGAGGTCAAATGTGTGTTAACAAACAAAGCACTTGTGACATGGTGAACTGTGTTGTCCACATTCTAAATCTGAACACTGAAATATTGAATGTCAGACTTGCACGATGAAATACTGTTCTGTATAAATGAGTGTATTATTCACCAAATACTGTAGACTCTACCTTAGGTACCGTTTAAACCTTCAGGGATTACATTTTTCCATGATGTTGGGATCTAGACTTGCTTTTGAAGTGTGCTTAGTTATTTAAAGAAATTTTTAAATATGCTGATTGCACTAAATTGCAAGTACTCCTGTTAATTCTGGTCAAAGTGTGACCTTAAATATCATTTGCTCAGTTGGCTGGTTTATGATGCTGAGTGCTGCCAATTTCTGGGTTTCACTCCCATACTGCTGGGGGTTACCATGAAGGGCCCATTTCTCAACCTCAGCTTAAACTTATCGTGTCTCTCTCTACTGAGAGCGCGCAGCCAATGGCCCTCTGGGACTACAACAACCATCACTTATTTACATTACATTTCTCGGTACTCATTATCCTGAAATATTTTAGAAATGCTCAGCACAAAATAAAGAGGTTTACTAGCAAATCTAAGTGTTCCTTTTATTGCTTTAATAGGTTTGCAATTTATTTCCATTGCCTTGAAAAAATACAGTATATTTTAACATGATGCCAAAAAACTTTTCTTTAGCGAGCTGTCGCAGCCTGTCAGAAGAGAGGTCAGGAGATCCTGAGGGTGTGTCAGTGTTTGAGGTTTGAAAATTATCCCTGTGGTTTGAATTCACCACAAAGACTGGTGTACACATATTAACCCTTTACAGGTCCCACAATAACTGAAGAAAGCTAGTACCACCCGAGGAAGTTGTATTTTCATCCTGATCCCAGCTCAGCAGTAATCAGATCTCAGCTGGAGCTTTTAATGCATTGAAGTGATTTGTCAAGTCCAACACTAGATATTGAAATTGACATAAGGCCGTCAACAGTACAATTGTTAAACTTATTATCTCAAAAATGTAACAATTAATATTTGCTTAAATATTTCAATGAATTTCAATTTAACTGGATTTAATTGCTTAAGTTGTGCACATTGCTATTCAGTCTATATTAGTACAAAAGATGATCAATTCCAACTGTATATTTTTCAATTATTCAGATTTCTAATCATAGAATCCCTGCAGTGTGGAAGCAGGTCATTTGGCCCATAGAGTCCACAATGACCATCCAAAGATTATTCCACACAGACACACCCCCTCCCTATAACCCTGCATTCCGCATGGCTACACATCCCCAGACACTGGGCAATTCCACCTGGCCATTCCACCTAACCTGCACGTTTGGACCATGGGAGGAAACCAGAGCACCTGGAGGAAACCCACGCAAACACGAGGACAATGTGCAAACCGAAGACAAATGTGCAAACTCCACACGGAGTCTCCCAAGGCTGGAATCGAACCTAGGTCTCTGGCGCTGTGAGGCAGCTAACCACTGAGATACCATGACACCTGTAATTAACTGAATTATTACATAATCAAATAATGCTTGAGGTAGTGGATTGTGGGAAGTGATTTTAACAGTATAATACCCTAATGTTGCCAGCAATCATTTGAAACAACCATCCTCAAACTTCAAGAAATTAAAATTATAAAGTAGAAATTTATGTAGATTTTAGCAACATTCCCTTATCTCATTCCAAATTTTCTATGTTTCAAAAAAGCTCCCATATTCTGCAGTAACAAGGTGTAGAGCGGGATGAACACAGCAGGCCAAGCAGAATCAGAGGAGCAGGAAGGCTGATGTTTCGGACCTCGACCAAAATGTCAGCTTTCCTGCTTGGCCTGCTGTGTTCATCCAGCTCTACACCTTGTTATCTCAGATGCTCCAGCATCTGCAGTTCCTACTATCTGTCCCATATTCTGCAGTCTGATTTGAGACAGAGACAACAGATACTTACTCAGATTATTTTTTGAAAAGGAAATCTACTCTGGGAAAATGCTTGGCTTAAAACACTTTTTAATACTAAGATCTCAGGACGTGTCTTTTAAAATAAGTGAATTTAAATAATGCTCTGATGATGCCAATTATCTAAATAGGATCCATATCAATAATGCCTTTATGCAGTAATCACTGTGATAATCTGTCTCCTGTTATATATAGGAGACAGCTATTCCTTTTTATAATTAGTATAGAAAAAAGTCTGATACAATGAACATTTTTTGGGCTTTACAGCTGCTTCATTAATACCTGACTGTCAGAGCATATATATCACATGAGAAAGAAACAGTATCCACGCAAACAATCCAACAAATTCAGGATGGCTGCTGACTTTCGGTCCATTCCTTGATTAGTTGATGTGCTACAGCCCACGGTGGTGGGATCCAGAATGGAACATCTCCCATTTCTTTCTTGGTGGGCACCCGTTTACGTTTTAAAGCTTCCGTTAGCTCCTTAGCATCAAGCCAACGGGCATCCTCAAGCTCCGAATGGTGCAGGTCAATCTAGTCATAATGAAATGAAAGTCAGCAATTTGGAAATTACAGCACTGCTGGTACAACACCAATTGTCCGGTATAACTAATACTCTAAGCTCTGCTAAGATAAGAAAATCAAGGCTCTATCGTGACACTGCAACTAGTTAAAGGTTAGAAATAATTGAAAATGAGCTAGTTGCTTGGGTTAGTAATTTGTCTGTTAACAACTAGTGACGGAGTTACACAAAAAGTTGTGATGATTATAAGATATTCTGTGTAAAGATCATCTTCTCCAGTGAACAGTGGGAGTTCCAGACAGTTGGTGAATTCAGTGTTAGCATTTCTCTTTGACTGCTCATTATCTTCAAAACATCCACTTGGTTAGAAGTTCAATTGTAAATCCTTTTTATCTCAGGTTTAAAGATTAAATAATAGACAGGATAAGTAAGAATATTTTTGATCTTGTTGACAATGCACAAATTCTGAGAATAAACAAAAATGATTTAGTACATCTTAGGTGATTCACTTACAAATAAAAGACAATTGCTCCCTGGCTTTTCCAAATCAGGATGTGCTAACCAGTTCCAACGTATGATCACATTTTGTGTGGAGATTAACATTCTGACATCAACCCAAGGTTTGTTTGGATTAGTTTAGACATGGCTTTTAGTGCCAAGATCTGCTACCACCAAATTCTGCAGTAAGGATTTGGATAAGGCACAATAGTGGACTGTAGAAACAGCTTTGTTCTACATCCAGTTCCTGTTACTTCTGACCTTGGAGTACTCTGTATTTAGTTTAGGTAACAAAAATGAAAAATACTCAATTCCTCATACTATCGTTAACACACTTTAGAAGATTATCGGATAAAAATAAAGTGTTGGATCTGCAGTAGTTTTTTTTTTTTAAGAAAGAGGATCGTAGTATCTCTAAAAAATGTGCAAAGCATATTGATATAGATATTTATATTACACATATTAGCATTTTCTCAGCAACTGGCACTTTCACATCTTGGTCAGAAAATTCTAGCACAGGTTCTGCAAATGTGATTACAAATTTTAACTGAACAATGTGGATCCTAAGGGAATGCTTCATTTCTAGAAGGGCTGTTTACACTTAGATACTGAGTTAAAGATCCCATAGACCGGTTTTGAAAAACTGCAAGATCTCACTGGTGTCCTGGCCAATATTTATCCTTCAACCAACAACATTCAAACAGATTAACAGACTCTTACCAATTTTTACAGATGCACCAGAGAAAGCATTCTATCCAGATGCATCACGGCTTGATATGGCAACTGCTGCCTAGGACTGTAAGAAACTACAGCGAGTTGTGAACACAGCCCAATCCATCTTGCAAGCCAACCTTGCATCCATCGATTCCATCTATAACTTCTTGCAGCCTCGCGAAGGCAGCCAACATAATCAAAGAACTTTCCCACCCCAGATATAGTCTCTTCCAACCTCTTCCATCAGGCAGAAGATACAAAAGCTTAAACACATGTACCAATAGATTAAAGAATAGCTTCTTCTTCCCACTGTTATTAGAGTCTGAATGGACATCTCGAATGTCAAACCGAATGCTGACCTCGCTGTTTGTGCACCTTCTCTGCAGCCATGACATTGTATTCCTCGCTCTGTTCTATTATCCTAATGCACTTTGTATGGTATGATATGCCTATACTGCATGCAAAACAAAACTTTTCACTGTACCTAAGTACATGAGGCAATAATCAATCAAGATTATCCAGTAGCTATAGCCTTATGCACAGCAAGCTCACTTTAAAACAACAACGTGCTCATTGCATTTCCTACAAGTGGCTACATTTCAGTAGAAATTCATTTCTTGAGAGTTTGTGAGGATAAATAAAAACAAGTCTTTCTTTTTAAATAGATAACTGGCAAAAGTTATGTTGCATCGGACCCAAGTCTTCCTGTTGCAAATTGCTCTTCGCAGCATTTAGAGCGAAGGCACTAAGTGGGGACATAGAACAGGGCAAATGGAGTCAGCCTTAACCACTTCTGTTGCCTGCTATCATTTTTTGTTTTACAGGACAACATTGGCAAAGCCACTGGAGGTGGTGTCAAATTTAGCAGCAGAGACAGGGCAATACGAAAGAATATAGAACAATCAAATAAACCAGACATTTCAGGGTAGATTTGGTAACTATTTTCGCTTCCCCCACATCTTCGATCAGGATGATATTTTGCAGAATCTTCACTACCATCGCCCCGTTTTTTTTTTGCTCCCCGCCAGTCTGACACAACTTACCTTGTTCTGCCCTGGTTGCACCATTGCATGGCAAGCAATCATCAGTGAGCTGTTAGGAAAGGGCCAGTGCTGGGATGCAGAATACTCAAGCGAGGATACTTCCAAACCAACTTCCTCCGCAACCTCCCGTTGCACTGAGTCCTCCACAGTCTCCCCTGGGAAAGGAGGAGAAAAGATTTACGATTCAACTTCTGTGACAGAAACAAATTTGTTGCAAATCAGTCTGAAAGTATGATTGCCAATTCGGCAGGCAGGGATCGTGAACCAAGGTGTCACTTCTTTACAAAATGAGAGGGAAAATATACTTTGGCCATTCTCTGGTACCTTTACTGTGTGTCAGCAGTCATACAGGGCCCTAATTTGGTGGCTTATTTGTGCAATGATTTATGGTGGATGGGATTGGGGATGGCGAGGCAACCAGAGAAAGTATAAGACTCTCTTCATCTTATTTGTTACATTTTCATGCCTACGTAGGAATCCGAATCAAGATGTGCAGCAGTTCTGGAATTGTGTACTAATGCAGCAAACATTGAACATTTTCACTTGTGCTCTTTTTGTTTTCACTTTCTCTTTATTGTTTATCTTTTAATGTTGTCTCTCTCTTTCGCACATCTAATATTTCTTCCCGATTCTCTATTTAGATTTTCTTTTCTCCTTAAACATTATGGGGATGTGCCATAAAAAAAATTGGCTTTAGCAAAAGGAAGTATAGTTCAAATTTTACAGATGACATTAAATTGGAACTAAAGTGAATATGTAGGAAAGCTGTGATGAAAGCACAAGAAGGCATTAATAAACTTGAGGTATTGAGGTATGAAGAGTGGATGTTTTTGTGAATGAATTTCACTGCAGTGAAGTGTTACATTTTGGTAACAAAAAGACCTAGGGGTACAGATGGATAAATTACAAAAAAAAAACGCATTGTGGAAAATACCCAAGAATTTGTTTATTTACATATGGTGAGAATTAGAAAACAGCAAAGCTATGTTAAACTTGTACTGAACCTTGACTAGATTACAGCTGGAATAATGTACACAGGTGTGGAAAGGGTATGGAGACACTGTGGAGATAGTATTAAAAATTCATAGAATGACACCAGAAATGAGGGAACATACTCATCTAGAAAGACTGAAGAGGTTTTTTTTTAAAAAATAGGAAAGGGAAGTCAGACAGTGACTACATGGATAAAAAGGGATTTGAGAGTGTAGAAATATTTACATATTTAAGAGAATATGTTTTATCTTGTACAAACACCCAAACTACAGGTGCTAAATATAATAGTGACCTTTAAATCCAATTGAGAATTCAGCAGAAACCTCTTTACCCAAAGAATGATTTCAATATGGAACTCCTATAAAGGAGCAATTGATATGAATGGCATCAATGGATTTGAGGGGAGCTGGATAAACACCCTGATGGGGGTAAGGAATAGAAGGATATGCTAATCGGGTGCGTTAGTGGGGTGGTGGTTGAAGGAGTTGGTTCTGAGCACAAATATCAGAACAGATCAGTTTATGGACTTGTTGGGCTAAGTGGCCTATATTCGTATTGTGATTCTGTGTCTATTATTTCTCATCAGCCACAAGTTTTCCACCTCAAGCATGCTGCCAGCCGAAGAGAGAAGCAAGAAGCGAGGCATTCACACACAAGGAGACTGTCTTCATGAATCACCTTATTGAGTCTCCTTACAAGCAAATCATAAAAGGCTATTGAACATATTCAGGTGACACAAATAACAAAGCCCATCCATGTGGGTACATTTCACAAACTTACTGTGATACTTAGTGTACAAGAAAGGCTAATTACCAACGTCACAGAATCCAGCCAGGGCACTGTACATTCCAGGAGGAAATGCCTCCTGACGTGCCAGCAGGCAGTGTGCTCCATCAGACACCAGCACAATAATCACAGGAGACACCTGTTAATAAAGTACAGATAGTGTCTTAGAAGCAGGAAGGCATGTCAAATACAGCAGATGGCTGCAGCAATTCTTATCTTTGATTTTTTTGTATAAATAATAACAACTACTCATAATAGCAGCTGCTCTTCTGATAATCTGAGTGACTGTGGATTGGTAGAAACAGACAGATTGTGGGTCACTGACATAAGGCAGGAAGGAACTGAGTTGCAAGAGACTCTGTGCTGTACTTTGAAAACCACTAGCGCAGGCTAAGCAAGGAAATTAGTGTACAATTGTACAGAGCCCAGGCATAAAAAGACATATGGACACAGTGAGAAAATGAGATATTTTATCCCAAATAGGAAGTATTATAATGAAATTGGAACAAGAGCAGGCCATTTGGGCTCTTGGGCCTGCTTCACCATTCAATAGGATCATGGCTGATCCAACATTCCTGACTTCCACTTTCCTGCATTTTGCCTATAACTCTTCATTCCCCTGCTGATCAAGAATCAGCCTTAAATATACATAAGGACACTGTCCCCACAGCTCTGAGGCAAGGAGATCCAAAGATTCACAACCCTCAGAAGAAATTCCTCCTCCTCCCAGTCTATAATTGGCACTCCTTAATTCTGAGATTATGCCCTCTGGTCTTAAGACTCTCCCATGAAGGGAAACATCACAGCAGTTACGCTTTCAAACCCCTTAAGAATCCTATAAGAATCAATGAGATTACCTCTCATCATTCTTCTAAACTCCAATGAGTAGAGGCCCAAGCAGTTTAATCTTTGCTCATAAGCCAATCCCTCTGTACCGGGATTCATCCTAGTGAACCTTCTCTGAACTACGTCCAATGAAATAGAGGGACCAAAACTGTTCATAGTACTCTAGATGAGGTCTCACCAGTACCTTGTATGGTTGCAGTAAGACACCCCTTGAAACAAGGGCCAACATTCCAGATTAGTCTTCTGGGTAACCTGCATGCTAGTTTTGTGTTTCGTGCAAGTCACCCAAGTTTCTTTGTGTTCCAACCTTCTACAGTTTTTCTCTAATTAAATAATACTGTTCTCTTTTTCTCCCTTCCAAAACAAACAATGTCAAATTTTCCCACTGCCATGTCTCCATTTACCAACTTTCTTCCCACTTAATCTGTCAATAGTCTTTCTGTTAGCTGTTTGTATCCCTCTCACCACCTGCCTTTCTACATATTTTTGTGTCATCTGCAAATTTGGCTCCAGTACATTTGCTTCCTCCCTCCAAGTCATTAATATATATCATAAACAGTTGAGGTCCCAACAATGATCTCTGTGGATCTCTGTCCCAAGTCACCAACCTGAACAAGAACCCCTTATCCCCACTCACCGTTTCCTACTCATTAGCCAATTCTCTATCCACACCAATACATTACCTTCAACACTGCAGGCTCTCATCTCATGACTTAAGTTTTTCTGAGGTACCTTCAATGCCAGTGAAAGTTAGTTAAATGTTAATTAGATTCATGCTCCAATGCTTACCTGTGGATAGTAGATTATTTCTTCTGAGCTACAGATACGTTTACTGCCTGACACGTTCTTGTGTGTCCGACGTCCAGTTCTACTGCAGTACAGATGTGTGCTGTGCCAGCGGAGAAGACCCTGTGCCTAAAATATATCCATTATTGTCTTGACATTTCCAGACAGTCTGATCTGAAGTACAAGCAGACTGAAACCACAGAACATGCAATGCAAAATCCAAAAAAAAAGTCATCCCTAAAATGTACAACAAAGCTGATAAAAGCAGGTAGAAAATATTTGTCAATTTTTTATTGCAGAGACCAATGCTGAAAACTGGCAATTAGTAAAGGATAGAGTCTTACATTATAATTTTCCCAGCAATGGATACACTGATAATTGCTTTAGTAAAAAAATCCATGCTAAATTGTGATGATGACACAAACAAAATAAAGTAACTGTTATTAGTAATATAACGATTGATAAAATAAAAAATATAATACAACATTATAAAAAATGTGTAATTACGAACAATTCATTATATAAATAATTAAAACATGCTATAATAAAGAAAGATTCATCTTACCACTGTCAATGTACCACCACAATAGCAATAAAAACCAAAAGAACTGCGGATGCTGTAAATCAGGCAATAAAAACAAAGTTGCTGGAAAAGCTCAGCAGGTCTGGCAGCATCTGTGAAGGAAAAAACAGAACTGTTCTGAGGAAGGGTCACCAGACCCGAAACATTAACTCTGTTTTTTCCTTCACAGATGCTGCCAGACCTGCTGAGCTTTTCCAGCAACTTTGTTTTTGACCACAATAGCAATGTTTAATGTTATTGATTTATATTTATACAGGGAAAATAAAACAGAATGAAATCACCAAAAGTTAAAAGCCCCCGAATTGTATGTCATATAAAAGGAACATGTTTTATTAAGTTGCTATATGCTAGTGCGGTGCGAGCTACTGGCTACAAGGTGAGCATTATAGGTTCTGAACTAGAATGTGAGAGATGGGGTTGCACAGTAATCCAGCGGCAGGACCAATGACCTGGAGCCATGAATTCAAATCCCACCAGAGCACTGTGTGAATTAAATCCAGTTAATGAAATAAATGTGGAGTGGAAAACTATTATTAATAACAGTAACCATGAAACTACTGGATTGTCATAAAGACTCATCTAGTTCACTCACATCCTTTAGGGAGGATATCTGCTGTCCTTGCCCGGTCTGGTCGACATATGACCCCAGATCCAACGGCAATGTGATTGACTGTTAACTGCCATCTGAATTAGCTGAGCAAGTCACTCAGTTAGCTCACTATTACGATCTTGGACAAGCGAGGATTAGGAATAAATGTAGGCCTTTCCAGAGATGTCCACATCTGGAAAGTTTTAAAAAATGGTTTTCACTCATCATCAAACCTGGCTTTTGGTCTCAGAATTCAGAATATGAGAGTAGGAAAGCCCCTCATCAAATAAGTTGTGGGAGCTCACAAAACCCTCCCCATTTTACATGTATAATTATAGCCGTGGAAAGTACTAACACCATTGTTGTCATGTTTATATTTCCTCCCCCCTGCCCCCCCCAAGTTTTTCCACAAGTTGTAGTCATTTATTAGCCATCTCCAATTGCCCTGACAAGGTAATGCTGTGTTGCCTTGTTGAATTGATACAGACCATTTCATGTAGGTACGCCCATGTAGGTTCAGAAGAAAGCTCCAAGATTTTGACCCAGTGACAGTGAAGGAACGACGATACAGTGCCAAGTCAGGATGGTGTGGGGTTTGGAAGGGAAATGTAGGTAATTTGCCACGTGTTGCCCTTGTCTTTCTAAGTGATATGCACATGGGTTTGGTAGGTGATGGGAAAGGAGGTCTGATAAGTGGCTGCAGTGCGATTTGTAGGTGGTACGCACTGACGTCATTGAGTTTCAGCAGTGAAAGAAGTGAATGATCAATGTGTTGGATGAGGCGCTTTCTGGATAGAATCAAGCTACTTGAGTATTTTTAGAGCGCTCACTCAGTCAAATGGAGAGTATTCCACAACACTCTTAACCTGAATCTTGTAAATGATTTCAGGCTTTGAAGAGCCGGGAAGCGAGCTACTCACCTCAGAATTTCCAATCTCTGGCCTGCTTTTTTATGGCTGAGCAGCTAGTGAATGCTGCCATTAATTCACA